AAAGTACGCCTGAGACAAAGTCTCACCATCCACGCTTTTAAGGTGAATTCTGACTGTACTTCTTCCAAGACAGATTTGTTTGTTCCGGCAGCCCTAGGTACTTTCAATGACTTTGCTAAGGCTGGCATTCATTACTTTAACCCCAAGGTATCCAAGAGTCTGCAAGGGAATTGATGTGAATATGACCACACAAGTGTGGAGCCAGAAGACATCAGGGTCACCTGTCCCGTACCTTACAGGTGGGGAAGATAACCCATTGCCTCAGGTCAAGACTCAGCAAGTAGAGGGAAGTCCTCGAGCTCAAGTCTCCTACTGTTCAGAGTTCTTTCAGCTCATCCAAGTGCTTGGTGTGTTTGTTGACTTGGGAAAAGTAGATGGAGCTCACTTCAAACATAGTTTAGGCACAATGTGTCAAAAGTGCTATCAAGACACAGGTTGCTTTGCAGTTGAAAAGGTGAAAACTTTTCAGTCCAAATGCAACATCTGAAGTTACCACTAAGGGGAAAATAAGAAAAATTCTATTTTTTCAGTGCTTCGCCACAGATTGCTAATGAGAAGGTCAGTGATTAGAACCCACCAGCCTCTCCTGGGAAGTGAGATGAGGCCATCAGCGTCCGAGGACACTGCGGTTTTTGTTAGGAGCATGGGACAGGTTCCCTCTCACAGGGCCCCTATGAACAAGGAACAAAACACTGTCCAGTCTTGCCCCATCCTCCCAGTCTTATTCTTGAGCCCACTGCTGCAGTCACTGTGTGGATCTATCTTGTGGACGGTCTTCTTACGTGCCGACCCTCTGCTGTTCTGTAGGGGAAAGAGGAAGCTTTCTGTCCCCATAAAGATGGACAGCCTTGGAAACCCAAAGGGGCCGTTTCACTCTGTCCTTCCCGGTTGCTCTGTGTCCTCTCCAACTCCAGGGCAGTGGGCTTGATTCTGTTTTTTCCCACTTTACCAAGCAGGATGTCCTTCCTCAGGGGTTAGCCCCTTCTGATGGCATGTTCAAAGTACAAGACAAAGTCTAGCTATCCTCACTTCAAGGGAGCACTATAGCTGTATTCTTCCAAAACAAGATTTGTTCACTTTTTCCTGACAGTCCATAATACTTCTTCCCCAATACCATAATCCAATGGCATCAATTCTTCTCCCACGCTCTGTATTCATTGTCCGAACTTTCCCAAGCATATGAAATGATTGCAAATACCATAGTTTGGGTCAGGTGCACCTTAGTCCTCAAAGTGACGCCTTTGCTCTTTTAGAACTTGAAAGAGATCTTTTACAGATTTGCCAAGGCAATACTTGGGTTTTCTAAATTTTTGCTTCTGAAAAGATTCTATAGTTTTGGAAATCCTTTCCAACAGTTCTACTCTGTCCTTGAAGGTGACCGTGAGTTGAAACCAACTGGATGGAATATAACATCTACTGTAAAGGACAGGAATGGCCCTCGTTGACCATCATTCTTTATACTGCACCATCCTAACCCTGAGAGGGAAAAAGGCTTAAATATGAGTTGGGGGTGGAGGGAGATAGGGGGGCGGGGAGTTCACATAACGGAGGACTAGAATTGATGCAGCTGGGCATCAAGCAGTGTGGATTTACACAGTTCATTAAGATGATCTTCTGGAGTTTATATCCCTGGTTCACATACAAAATGTCTTGTTTTGCCGCACAATCACAGAATCTTTAATACAAGGTCATGTAAGTCACTTAGAAAAATAAATGTGAATATTAATCACCCACCCAACCCTCAGTCTCTAAAAAAATCCTGGTATTTCCATTTTCAAGATACAAGAGCTTCCAGGTGCCTACTACCAACAGAAGGTAC